ATTTCTATTCTATACGTGGATTCACGGGGTCATAAGAGGTGTGTCTTAGACACTTCTTACTGAGCTTATGTTCACCCCTTTATTATTAATATTTTTCAGGACACGGAAGGGAAATAGCGGACGACGCTTCTTCACAGGGTTCGATGGGTTAGTAGATCGTTTTGACATACTTTGTAGGATCTCATTTTATAACTATTATTTATTTATTTATTTATTTATTATTATTATTATTATTATTATCTTATAAACCCTAGGTTGACACGTATATTATATATTGACATAGGAAAGGACGGTAGTGCCCTTAGTTAACCTCGGGTTCGGGTAAGGACTCGGTTAACCATTCGGACCCTCGGGTTTGGGTCATTACAACAGTGGTGGTGGAAGGCAGTGGTAGTGGTGGCGGTGGTGGTGGTGGTGAAAGCTAGATGTGGTTATGATGGAAGGTAGTGATAGTTTTTGGATATGGAACATGAGGGTTTTTTGGAAAGTTAATTTTTTAAAAATATTTACTTGAGAATGAAATCGTTATTCCATAGGTTTAGTTGTGGAATGAATTTTCATTCCAATTGAATGGCTATTTCCACTTTAAATTGCATACCAACCAAGAAATGGTTGGAATGAACATTCCATTCTATTCCATTCATGCACATCAAACATAACATAAAGGGGAAAAAAAAAACAAAAAAAAAAATTTTTTATTAGTGTTAAGAAATTCTTATTGTTATAAAAATAAAAAATAAATTCTAGGAAATGGGTTATAATTTTTTGTGCTATCATTTTTCTCCATTTCCTACCATTTTCTGAAAGAATAGATTTACGATATTTAGGGAACTTAGCGCTTCGTTTGGTTAGATATATAGAATCAAAGGGAAAATAAAGGCAACAGAAAAGTTTAAATTTTTTTTTTTTGAATTTGGTTAGATAGAAAAAAGTTTTGAAAAATTGGTATTCTTCCAACCCTATATTTTCCCCCAAAAAGTTCCCCTCACAAAATACGCAAAAATAAAATTTTCGCGTGACAACATCTTTTTATTTTGTGTTTCTATTTTACCCAACAACTTATTCAAGAACTTCATCAGTATTTGAAAATTAACAAAATATTATTTTTCACAAGGTTTCAATTGCAGTCCAATAATAACTTTATCATAGGCGAATTGCAAAAATCCCTTTTACTATTACCCAGTTACAAAAAACTCCCTTATGAATATTTTTGGCAAAAAATCCCCCTCAACTATCCCAATGGGGTGTTTTTAACTAATATCCGTTTAAGTGGTTGTCTGAGGAAATTTTTGGGACGAAATTACTCCCTTAACAGATTATTCTTTAGACAATTTATTTATTTTTTTTCTCTTCTCTCTTTGCATCAAGTAAGCCTTCTCATTCCTTCAACACACAAAGCTAACAATATATCGAGAAACCCAATTGTTGAAAATTTATCTTTCAACACTACTTGGACAACCTATAGCACATGTAAACAGTAGTTGAGGTCCCAAGAATACTCAATTATACACTTAATCTATGACTTATTTCTATTTATTTACTTTTATTATTGGTTATTTTATTTTATTTTTTTTATGATTTCATCCATGTAATTGAACAAATATTTTGCATGTAAAAAGTGTTATATTTCCTTTGATTTCGTACCATCTTATAAAAAAATAATAATAATAATAAAGACCATCTTAGTAATAAGAGTAAGTAATCTTCCCAGAAATTACCCCCTATACTTTATCCACATGGTATGTAATTTTCGAGTAGTAAGTGGTGGAATCAAAACAATTTTCAAGTAGTAGATAATGGAATCAAAATAATATATGATGAGATGATAAATGCATTTCTCTCAAACTAAATGATTTAAATGTCGTTTATAATTAGATTCTTAAGAATTGGATAGAAAGCAATGATGTCTTTTCACATTAAAAGCGTTCATATTTTTAGATCTTTAACTTGAGTACATCAACTATAACAATTTCGTCTCAAAAAATTCTTTTGGGATATTTTGTGTTTTCAAAGTAAATTTTTTTTTTTTTTTTTTACAAAAATCATATTTGAAAAAAGAAAAGAAAAGAAATTATGTTGCTTTTTAATTGCCAATTTTAGTCCACTTACCTTGCAGTAGCAAAATTCAATTAAGGAAAATAAATAAACTAAGGAAACATGACAAATTATTATTATTATTTTCTTAAAATAATTAACTATTATAATGGTGACAAAAGATCAAGTGCACTGAAGGAGTTCTCGAGTTGTTTAATTTTTTCATTTTTTATTCCAACGCCATGGTGGATTTTCTCTCTCCTGTGTTGTACTCAAATTTATTTTATTAAATTATACATAACTTAAATATGATTTTATTGGCTTTCTATTTTTTTTTTTTTTTGGGAATTTTTCTTTGCTGCTTCACATACCTTGTTTGACGGGGAGAGAGAGAGAGAGAAAAAAAAAAAAAAAAAAAATTGTCTAAAGAATAATCTGTTAAGGGGTAATTTTGTCCGAAAAATTTCCCCAAACAATCACTTAAATAGACATCAATTAAAAAAACCCTGGATAGTTGAGGGGAGTTTTTTGCCAAAAATATTCATAAGGAGTTTTTCACAATTGGTTAATAACCGGGGATTTTTTTGCAATTCGGCCCTTTATCATTGATAGGGTTTTAATTAACTTCACTCCCATTCCTAATTGTTTTCCATCATATATGACAATGAAGTAAATAGTATTTTGTGAGGTCTAAATTAATTGAAAACTCTATTATTAATTTATATATAATATTATTACTAATTAAATCTTTATTTTTCTGCTATTTATTTTTATTTTACTATTTTTATAAATAAGGGCAATTTAGGTATCTAAACTATATTATAATATTTTCCTATAATTTTCTTGAATAAATTTTCATTCTAACCAAATGCATATTAGAAAATCGATTTTCTTGTCATTCACTTCACTTTTATTTATTTTTTTTTCATTTTTTTTTTCTTTTCTTGCTATTTTCATCTAACCAAACGAAGCTTAAGGGGTCCTTTATTTTTGCCTTATTTTTAATTTCTCATATTTAAACCAAATGGGATTAAAATTTATTTTTCATTTATTTTTTTTTTCTTGCTACTTTCATCTAACCAGACGGAGCTTAAGGGATACTTTATTTTTCCTTATTTTTAATTTCTCATATTTAAACCAAATGGGATTAAAATTTACCCCTCATATGTTGTTTATTTAACTTTTTATTTTTATTTCTTCTAATTCATTCTACCAAGATATATATATATATATATTTTAAAGCAATTACGTACACATTTTACCTCTACCGAGGTTCGAACGTTCGACTTCCCATTTAAGAAAAAAGAGGTGATACCGTTGGCCATACGGTCCTTCGGTGAACTTAATGAATCATTCAACTCTCTATTTTATTTATTTATTTTTATTTTGTCTTGGCAAATATAAGTCCCACGATGTTCTTGATAGATTCGAACTAAATTAGGCTAAAGAACAATAGAACCTAAGATTATGTTAGGAATTTAGTAATTATATTATAATTGACAAATTTTGTAGTACAAAACACACTGTGGTAATTTAATGATTATATGACTGTTGAGTAAGATAAGTGTTAAACACGGTTGCTTGAAGAAAGTTATATCAAAAGGATAATAAGGTGTGATATCTTCTGCAAAAGAAAAATCAGTCAAAGAATTATTACAAAGGACAATTCAATCAAATCAAATAATGGTGAAAATTATTCGGTTTCGATTATATCAACAACGGTACCAAATCAAACCATGTGTAACCCCATTTTTTACTACCACGGCCACACCTGATTCTGCTGCAACTACTTGGCCGGTGGGCCCTTGTAAATTGTAACCCTCCGTATGATAAATATGATGACCTCGACTTATCGAGAATAAGGGAGGGGGAGAGACTTATCCATAAACGGTACATCTCGGTAGTGATATCACACGTGGCCCGCATTTCAGCATTTTGAGCAGAGTCAGCGATGCGGTTATGTCAAACGTGGCTAATGCTCACGTCACCCAAAGCAATAGTAATGCCCTCCAAATCTACTTCCACTAAAGACGGAAATACCCTCCACTGATAACCAATTTGTTTTTTTAGGAGTTAGCACTATATATGTGTATATATATATATATATTTAATAAAGCATTTATAATTCTTTTAATGTAGACTTGATCTTATGTATCTTTTAAAAAAATAAAAAATTGCTATATATGTACACTTTTCTTTTTGTTATATTATTTTGAGATGATCTTTATTATCTTTTATCATTCATATCATTCTTACACCATGTATAAAAGCATATGTACGGGATTCCAAATTCCTTTTTATATTCTTCTTATTTGCTTTCAATTAAGTAATTTTTTTTTTTAATTAACTCGGGTGTTCAGGATGGCACGAATTTTTAGGACCCTTCAACAATCTGACTAATTTTCGAGAAATCGAAAAGGCACCTCTCCACTCGGATCGAAGGGCGCTTCTCCACTTGGACCAGATAAGTCACTGTAAGAATAGCGGAGGCTAATCACAAAGAATACCAATCAGGACATGAACTCCAAATATTGGATTTGTTAAGTTTTAAAGTTCAGCAAGTAAATCGTTTGGCTATATTAAAAGTGAATAATTTAAGTAATTTATTATTATTTAAAAAGAATTAGCATAATGTCAAAAGCGATACTACGACATGCAGAAAGACTATAATCAATTAAACTGACTTAATTTATTCATAGCTTATAATTATTATTGAATCTAGTAGGTGCAAACATTTAAATTATATAATTTGTAAAAAATATTAAAATATATTTGCATGGTTAAATGGTAAACTTTTTAAATATAATTTCTTTAAAAAATTACTTGTCACCAAAATGAAAATTTGAAAAACACGACTATAAGCCTACACCTGTCTTTTCGCCAAAAGATAGTAGATAGAAGTTAACGGCGTTAACTTAACGCCACTTTGTGCTTCATCTACAAAGAATAATACCGTCTCTTCTTTATCTAATAATTTTCGATGGTTAACACACTCTCTAACCCCCACTTTCTCATCTGTTTCTCTTTCTTTTCAATTCTGCGTCCTCTTCTTTTATCAACACGGTTTCATATATTAATATATATTTCACACGTAAGTAATCAAGATCTTCTTGGCCTGTGATCGAACTTAATTTTCTGGAATTTGTGATTCTCGGAAAATTTCTCGACAAAGATCGAAAATTTCTACCATCGGTGGTGATTCGAAAGTTTTTTTATTCTCGACAGTCCTGGGAGGATCAAAGCTTCTAGAGGCGTTTCAGGTGGGGATATTGTTCTTATGTGTGTGTTTATATATATATATATATATATATATTTATGTATATTTCTTTTTTGAATCAATTCGGATTGTCAGATTGATTTAAAACTCAGCAATTTGACTGCTAGCTCCAATCAATGTTGGACTAAATTTGAAGAGAAACATAGATGGTTGCTTTGGTCCTTAAAAAACTGACTAGGAGCTAATACCTGTAGTTGAATCATAAATGGAACTGAAAATTTATATGCTTGTGTGATAGGTAGGCACATAGATAGATATACAGAAAGAGCTTTGATATCTTGAGTTCATGTGTAAGATATCAATATTTGAAGAGAAAAATTAACTGTAAACTCACTAATGTTTTCAAAATGCAATATAATGAGCCCATGTACACATGCCAATGAATTTTGAAGAACTTAGTAAACGAAAAATCTATATTAAAACTATTAAATTGAAAAATCCACAGAATTGAATGGAATTAGGAGGTCAAATAGTCCCATACTTAATTTCAGTTACTGAAAAGAGTAGGCTTTTTATGCTCATGGACACATAACAAATTGGGTATATGTCATAAATGGTGATCAACTACATGTGATCAATGATTACAGATGTATTGCATTAGATTACTTGCAATTTAAAATTAATCTCTCTCTATATGTGCATATTTATTTTGGATGGATAAATTGATTTATCTAATTGTAATGTATTGATTTGTTTATTGTTATAATAACTATCTGTTTTTTTTTCACGAATCTTAAAGGAACTGAGATGGGTTCTTTACAAGGACCGGTTATTAGCCCCTGCATCCGTGGAAAACAAACTGGAGTTTACACTCTTCCTGTTAATGCACCCTTGATGAAGGCTATTATTCTTAGAAGTGGATTCTGGGGATATAAAGGGGTCAATAGTGATAGGGTTAATAATATGTGTCATCAAATGCGAGTGCATAAATGCAGGATGGTGCAATGTAGTTTTGGTTCATCGTCCAATGGTAACGGTAGCATGGCAGAAAATTTTAGTGAAAATGATGAAGATTATGTGAATTCAAGTGTACTTGAAGCTGGTAAGTTTATTTTGATTTACACATTTATTTATTTCATTAGATTACTTCGAATTGATTTGAATTACACAATTATTTATTTCATTAGATTACTTAGGATGGAACTCACATCCTTTGGCATATTTGGCTATGCTTTTGGAAATGCACATGCTAATAGTTATGTCAATGAAAAATTCCGAATCTATGAGCCATGTTTGTTATTTTTTATTTTTTCCAAAAAAGATAAAAAAAAGAAGAAAATCTGAAAATGCTTATTCCTTCTGTTGAAACAATTGGACTTACACTTTACGGGAAAATAATAATAAAATAAAAAAATAGAAAAACCTGTTGAACTAGCATATAGAAATATACCAAACTCTCATTTGCTTTCTACCAGAATATGGAAAACAAGAAACATCTTTCCGACATCCCCTGGAAACAACTAATTGTTTGAAAAAACAAAAAATCAAATTGGTTTTAGAAGCAAACTTTTGAACAAATTTCCTGCTCTATTTTTATTTTATTCATTCTCAAAAAAGAGACAACATAAACGAAGCAGAATACACTCTTATGACTTTGTATTTTGGGTCTTGGCCCTTGTAAATTGCAAGGATTCTTTAAGCCTGTTATAGTTCCTAGGCTGATACTGTGCAATGGGGATGGATACCTTTCGATGCTTTCTAAATTTTTTGCGTTAAGAAGTAATGTGCAGTGTACTTTAAATTGATGTTTGTGTCTCTTTTGTTGTACCATATAGTTGAGGTGAAGAGTGGCCCAGATGGTTTCGTGATTAAAATGAGAGATGGAAGGCATTTAAAATGTGTCCATAACAACCCTCAGGGTGGGTATCTGCCTGATTACGATCCGCATCCTGCAATTGTCTTAAAGATGGAAGATGGGAATGGTCTTCTCCTGCCCATAATTGTCTGTATGTGCATAAGCCGTGATGCATGTTATTCTTTATAAAACAGGATAGATGTTCTTTCTGAAGGTTCTTCTTTCATTTAACGTTTCTGTTGTATTCAAGTTATGGTTTTCTTTTAATTGCAGTGGAGATGCCAAGCGTGTTGCTTATGGCAGCCTTGCGCCATGTCCAAGTCGTATGTTTTCCCCCTATGGGAACTGATTAATCTGTCAAATTTAACTTAGACTACTTTTTTTCATCTCAAAGTGATCGTGCTTAAGATTTGAATTGGTGACTACTTTCAGGCTAGGCCCACTATGTATCAAGTCATGAAGGAGATGATTGATAAGATGGGTTATGCTGTAAGTTTATGGTTGCTTCTTTTAGCTCTCATGATTTGTGAATGCCGCATGCCGCACACTTTTTATCTCTTTTTGTCTTTCATTCTAATATGTTCCTTTTCCTCTTTTAAAGGTGAAACTTGTTCGTGTCACTAAGAGAGTACATGAGGCCTATTTTGCTCAGTTGTACCTCACGAAGGCATATATCTATACACAGTTTAATTTCATTTAATTGACTTATAAAACCATAAAAAATTTCAAATCATAATTGTCTAATTGACATAATGGTGATTGCAATCTCAGGTGGGTAATGAAACAGAGTGTGTCAGCTTTGATCTTCGACCTTCAGATGCCATTAACATTGCAGTAAGATGCAAGGTACTGTGGCACATATTTTGACTTAAATTATTTTTTGTATATGTATAGCGTATTCTTTTTCTTTTCCAAAACTATAGTTCTTGTAAGATGTATATCATTGCAAAGACTTATCAAAAAAAAAAAAAAAATTGATATATGTCATTGCAAAGGCTAGATCATGCATAGTTTTAATCATTGCTGATGTCATGCCAAGTATCATGAAATTATGGTTTTGTGCAACCAAAGCATTGTTGAAATGCAAAACTAATGCTGGCTCTGAAACCAAATTCGGTAGAAATATTAGCAATTCTATTGGGAACTAGGCCAGTTGGATGAGAGAGAGGAGAAAAAATGAGAACAATTAAAGAAAGAAAATGAGAAATTACAATCTATTGACATTTTTAATTACCATCCCTTCTGGGGGATTGTATTAGGTATAAAATGAGAAAAGTAAAAATCAACCTATATTAGGGACCCGATCATATTTTATTGGTGGAGGGAAATTGAAATTTTTAGGACTGAAATCTACAATTTAAATATAGTGAGTGGTATGTTTCAAACAATTAAATATGGGATTTCAACATTCAGATATGCAATTATTTCCCTTGGCAAAGAGCAGAATTGTGATTCTAATCTCCCCAGACTATGTCCAATGGTATGTTCTGTTGGATTTTTCACATAAATTCGTGTGTTCTTTTATTTACTTTACTTTTATTGCTCTGTGATTTGAATTGATTGATTGGATGATGAATTGTATGAGTATGTTCAATTAATTGTTTTAAATTGGAATCAAGTTAAAATTATCAACGTGTGCAGAAGACAAACCCCTACTTTATGTCCAATTGGCCATAGCATACTCTGGCATATCAGAGTCTTTGGTTAAAGTATGATTTTTCAATGATATATGATCTTCAGCTTCCCCCTTCCATTTTTTTTTTTTTTCATTAAAATTTGAAGAGAAAATCTAGCTTATCAGATTGATTTTCTTTCCTTGCATATGAGAAAATGCACCCTCTTGGTCCTTTCTGCTGATGTCCTTGTCAATCGTATGGGCACTAGAAAATGGCTTATTGTCATGTTTTAGCTAGTGATAACCAGCTAGCTGCTGTGGTCATGGCTTATCCTTGTGTCTAATTTGACTACCTTAGAAGTTTGGACATTTTTACAAGTTGAATTTAGGCTTAAACAAGCCTAATAATGGTTTTCTGAGTCGAGGAAGTTTCCCCATTCAATATTTTTCAGGTGCCAATACAAGTCAACAGGTACTTGGCATATAGTGACGGAATGAGAGTAATTGAATCTGCAAAGTCACTGCGGTCCTCTTCTTCAGATGGCTTACTATTCACAGAACTTGACAGGTACGTTTTAAATTCGTTACGAATTGTATATATGAACATACGTTCTTTGATAGGGCCAAGTCCTAAGTAGTTAATGCATGCCGGAAGTTTGTCACAAGCTAGTTTTCAAAAAATTGGGTAGGATTCATTTGAATGGTATTCTGGCTTTGTGAGATGAATTTAGGGAGTTTCTCACATTTTATCTATATTATCAATCTAGCAACCAAATTTAGATTTTCTATGTCAAACTCTCTCTTTTACTTTTAAATATTAAAAAAAAAGAAGTTAAAAACCGTTCTGATGTAAGTTGTTATGGTTCTAGACCTAATGGCCAGCCTTGTGTTGAGACAACGGAGTTTAATCTTGTGCGTAACATGCTGATTGCTGCCGTTGAGGAACGCTACAGAGATGCGGGTATGCTCTTCTTCTTCTTATTCGTCTTCTTCGTCGTCCTTTTTTTCTTTTTCTTCCTGGCATGTACCTGGAATCTATTTTTTATATCCATAGAGTAAATTCCACCAACCTCCTATGAAACTACAATGAATTAAGCTAAACCAAAAATAAACTCACTTCCCTTGTCAAAGTTTGTTCGTTAAGGCATGATTTGTTCTTTCTTTTTTTTTAGTGGAGAATTAGCAAAAGTTATCATCACGGGTAAAGGCTATTATTCCTTGAGCCCATCTCTCTCCTCTCCATTTCTCTGTTCTCTCTTTTCTGTGTCTTAGAACCTCCCCCATCACTTCCATCTCTTCTTCCCATCTCTATCTCTGCCCTTTTCCAGTTTCATTTCTCTCTCTACGCTCTGTCCCTCTGCTCTGCTTGTATCCACCTCACTCTTCTCTACCTTCTTCATCGTTTATCTCTTCACCATATCACCGTCACCACCACAATCACCACTTTCTCTTCCTCAAACTCCAAAGCCCCCCAAATTCGTGATCACCATTCATGCATCCTAAGAACACATATATGCTAGTTGGTCAATAACGCTGGATGGGAACCTGGAAAAAAATCACCTTCTCTCTCCTATGGTCTTTGGTCTCTATTATTGTATTACACTACTAAATTCTGGTATTTTGACAAAACTGAATTAATGATGGGAAATGAAAATTGTTTCAATGTTTTTAGCAATTGGAGTAATTGTTGTGTTAACCACCATCTTCTCTAAAAGCTTAAATTGTTAGAGAGGGTGGTGTAACTTCAATATTTGAATCCTTCAATACGCCCCTTCATGTGTGGCCTTCTTTTGGTCCAACACCTATTTTTCAATTTTTTAATTAGGGTGTTGGTGAGGTTTGAACTTATTGAAGATTTAATGGAGGAATCAGGTGAGGAAAATCCTCTAGTAATTGAAGTAGTTTCCTACTATTGAAGATTTGTTGTTATTAGAGGATTCGGTGGAGAAAAATCCTCCTTGTTTCTTATTTTCTATCCCTTTCCATTCTCATAATTTATTCTCCTACATAGAGGGGCATCCACCATTGTATTGTGTATGAGTTGAGGGCGTATTAAGCCCTAGTGGCTGAACCGCGTAATATCTTTGTGTTTTTCTTGTTTAATTTCTCTTTACATATATTTCAAGCTTTACAACAAAACTTGATACCTTTGGCTATGGTACCATGTTAACAACCATCTACTCTAATAGCTTAAGCTGTTAGAGAGGGTGTAACTTTAATATTTAAATCCTTCAACCGTTGCATTGTAATTCAAAACAAGAAATCTAAGAAACCCAACAGGATGAACCGTAAACGGAAGAGAAAAAGAAAAAGAAAAAGAAATTAAAGAGAAAAATGATGTTTAAATTTGGATATATGATTGGAAATCAAAGAGAAAATTCAATTTCTTGCCTTCTATCTCCCTTTTTTTTTTTTTTTTGGTTTTTGATAAGTAAGAATTCATTAAAGGCGCTCAAAGGGGGAGGGCTCCCAAGAGAATACACAAGGCGCCCGAGGCTGCCACTATAATTTCAAGCTATCCACAAAACCCAAAAGAATAAAGTAGACAAAATATTGTATTCAAGAGACCAAATGGGAGTTTTCTCCATCAAAGGATCTCGCATTCCTCTCGCGCTACAAGCCCCACCATAAACAAAGGGGAGTGGCCCTCCGTGCATCTGTGTCTCGGCTCTCCACTATACACCCTCTCCAAGCCTCAATCATGTCCACCGTAGAACCTGAAAACACCCAAAAAATGCCAAACTCTACTAAGAACATAGACCACACGTCTCTACCACTAGGCAATGAAGAAGGAGGTGGTTCATTGTTTCTTCCGTCTGCTTGTAAATACAGCACCAGTTCACCACAATTTGTCGTCTCCTTCTAATGTTGTCAAGAGTGAGAATACTTCCGAGGGCAGCTGTCCAAGCAAAAAAAAGGCCGCCTTCAACGGAGCTTTGGACTTCCAAATTTCCTTCCAAGGAAAGGAAGGACCTGGAATCTCAGTTAGGCTCTGATAGAAGGACCTAACCTCAAAAGCTCCTCTCTAGGAACACACCCACACCATCTCATCCATCCCCTTACCCTCCACCACCTATTTGTATAGTAAAGATAGGAAATCAGTGACCTTGGTAAGCTCCCAATCATGAAAATATCTGCGAAACTGCACGTCCCAAATCAACCTCCCATTATCTAGCCGATAACAGTCAAAAACCCGAGCGTTTGTTTGTGGAAATTCTGAAGTGCTGAGGAATCCTATGAGCCAAAACGAATGAACCAACAAACAGGATGATTTTTGAACCGCCATTTTGCTCAACATATATTTTTTTTTATATTATTATTATTATTATTAAGGTCAAGTAAACAACTCACACGCCAACTCAATGTTGTCCCACTTGATGCTTGAATCCCTCACCTTCTGTTGGGGAGGAGAGTTTATAGTGTTATACCACCTAAGCCAATGGCCCAATGGTAACCCCTATTGCTTTTTCAATCATCGGTGCCCTGAAAACACAAACACACACTCCACCCGCCCACCTCCTCTTCCTCCTCCTCCTCGAACATGGGTGAATTCGCCCATGCCTTCTGGTTTCTTCTTATTACACAAATTTGGCTAATCTGCTGTTAGTGCTTGTACCCAAATTTCTATCAGTCTCAAGAGTCTAGATTCTAGAAATAGAATTACACTAATGACAAGTTAGGGTTTGAAGAGAAAAGAAAGAAGAAGAAGAGAAAAAGGAGTATAAGGAAGGGTTGTAGAAGATTTTGACATCTCTACACCCTTGTGTTTATATTAGTCAAAAATATAATTTACAATAATAACCCCACGTGACAAAATCCCACTAATTATTCACTACATAAATATTCCAACAAGGTCGGGCAGGCCAGTTCCCTATTAAATGCCCTATTGTGAAACTTCCATCCTTTCTTTAGATTTTCTTCTATTTAATTGCAAGCAACAATAATGAAACATATACTTCCTCCCCTTTCCCTCTTGGATGGTATATATTATTTAGGAATCGTCCTTATTTATGGTGGTTGATGGTTGGGATGGTGAAAGACCTTGTGATGCTTGATATAGGTTTTTAGGTGATGGCTAGGGCATTCCCTTTAAGTGACATGGTGCATCAGCTTTCGGATGCTTCGAAAAGTGGGCTAAGGGTATCGCATAAGCATTCGGATGTTGTAAAAAGTAGTCAAGGTTCTCGCATTTTTCTGGACATGTGCAAGTAAAGAAGTTAGCCCGAGATAGTAAGCTTGGGATAGGGACTTGGATTATAGAAACATTGATAGGTAAAGAAATGGACTTGGTAGACACTGGGAATTTGTTGCTAGTAAAAAACATGTTTGGTGTTCGGTGATACATTATATAAAGATCTTTTCACATTTAAAATACTTTTATGTTATTTCTTACTTATCAAAAAAAAAAAAAAAAAAAGTACTTTTAAATTTGTTTGGTAACTGTTGAGGGATTTAAATATTTAAGTTACACCCTCTCCAACAACTTAAGCTCTTAAAGTAGATGGTAGTTAACATGGTATTAGAGTAGGCAGGTCCTGTGTTTGAACCTCACCATCGCCTTGATTTAAAAATTGAAACACGTGTTGGACCAAAAAGAAAGCCACACGTGAGGGGCCGTGTTGAGGTATTTAAATATTGAAGTTACACCGTCTAATAGCTTAAGTTTTTAAAGTAGATGGTAGTTAACAGTAACAATATTTTCTAAAGCACTTCTATTGCTAATTTTACAATAATGTCTGTTGAAGGTATAAATATTAAAGTTTCACCCTCTCTATCAACTTAAGCTTTTAGAGTAGATGGGTAGTTAATATGGTATCAGAGCTAAAGGTCTCGGGTTCAAACCTCACCGTTATCCTAATTAAAAATTGAAAAGCACGTGTAGGACCAAAAGAAGGCCACACGTGAGGAGGCGTGTTGAAGGTATAAATATTATGGGTAGTTAACAATGTCCTTTAAAAGATTGTTACTATATTTGATAATAGCAAATTTATAAAAGAGGTTAAATTATCTTTATAAAAAATAAAAATGGATAAAATTGTCCAAGAAAAAATAGTTACGTAAAATATAGAACCTCTACTCAACACAATTTTAAAAGTTAGAAATTTTAGCTTCATTCAAAAGCTTTATTAAGCTATAATTGGTAATCATTAAAAGTGCTTTTAATGGTTATCAAACACATTCAAACACTATTTTTTAAATAAAGCGCTTTTATGCTGTTGAAAAGCAATCCCAAATGGTTTCTAAGTGGGCAGGTGCAAAATTTAGAGAAATTGAAGGATTTATCTTGACTAAACCAAAAATGATAGATATAAAAATGGAGTAGGGATAGTAATTGGTAAGAATTTAAAAGAAAATGTTGTAACCGTTATTAGAAGAGTTGATAGGATAATATTAGTAACACTTATATTAGGAGTAAATATAGTTGATGCTTATGCACCCTAAATATGATTAGACGAACACATTAAAACACAAATTTGGGAACATATGGTTGAATTAATTCAAGGGATACCCAAAGCAAAAAAATTATACATCGAAGGGAACTTTACTGATCATGTTGGAAAAGATTGTGAAGGCTATGAGAGGTGGACACAGATTTGGATGTAGAAAATGATGCTGGAGATGTTATATTGGATTTTGCAGTAACATATAATCTTGTAATTAGGAATACCTATTTTAAAGAGAGAGATAAACATTACTAACAACATAGGCTATTTGTTTTAGATGTATATATAGAAGGACAATTTAAAAGGAGAAACAGAATTGTAAACCCAAGAACTGGGTGGTGGAATTTAAGAGAGAATAAAGTAGAATTATTTAAGAACAGGGTGTGAAAAGAAGCAAGGCGGAGTCTAGAAGATGAAACAAACATAATTTAGAATAAGATGGCAAAATATGTCCTAGGTGAATCAAACAGGACCTTATTCAAGGAAACTTGGTGATGGAATGAACAAGTCCAAAACATCATTTTTTTTTTTAATTATAAAAAAATAAAAAATAATTAAAAAAAAGTGCTATAAAGCTTTGCAAAAAATTAGAAATAGGGAAACTTTTGAAAAATAGAAAATCTCAATAAAGAAGTAAAAAAGTATCAAGTGAAGCAAAATATAGAGCATATGATGATCTCATTTATATTCTAGGAGAAGAATATATATAAACTTGTTATACTAAGGGAGTGGAAAACTAGATATTTTAGCTATATTAAATGCATCAAGAATGCTTATTTAAGGGTTTTAGTAAGAAATGATGAAATTAAAGAAAGAGGTTTTAAGAAATTGTTAAATGAAAATCATTTAGGAAGTTCAGGTTTAGAAGAATATAGTAACCTTAGAGATAGCATATGTTTTTTTTAGGGTCAAGAAGTGTGAGGTTAAAATGAATTAAGGAAAATGAAATGAGAAAGTGATTTAGGGCCCGATGGTGTTCCTATTGATGTTTGGAAGTGTTCAGGGGAGGATGGCTTGTCTTGGTTAACAAAATTGTTTAATAAGATAATAACAACTAAGAGAATGCCTGATGAGTGGCACAATAGTATTTTAATGCTTATATTTAGAAAGATATGGGACAGACAAAGTTGTAATAATTATCGTGGAACCGAATTACTGAGTCATACATGAAACTTTGGGGGGGAGTGATTGAACAATGGTTAACCCTGAAAACTGAAGTGTTGGAAAATTAGTTCATACCGGGTAGGTCAACTATGGAGGTTATTTACTTATTAAGGAAACTAATGGAAAGATATAAACAGAAGAAGAAACATCTCCATATGATTTTATTGATTTATAAAAAGCCTATGATAGGAATCCTAGAAATCTAATATGGAGAGCTTTAGAAAAGAAAAGAGTCACAAAGGGATATGTTGACACAATAAAGGACACTTGTGATGATGTATGACTATAGAGAAAACAGATGTAGGAAAAACAAGTGGAAGTTTAATTGTTGTATACTTACATCAAGGGTCATCCATATATGATATCGTTTGCCTTGTTATGGATGAGCTGACAAGACACATTCAAGATGAGATTCCATGGTGTATGTTATTTGCTAACGACATTGTTTTAATTGATGAGACTAGAAAATGAGTCAATGTCAAACTGGAGGTTTGGAGGGAACATATAAAATTAGAAAGTTGTAAGATAAGTAGAAATAAAACTTAATATATGGAGTGCAACTTTAGTAAATCTAAAATACAAATGAGGATATAGTGCAGATTGAGAATCAAGAGGTACAAAAAAGGTAACGTTTTCATTATTAAGGCTCAATTATCCATAATGAAGGGGAAACTAAAGAAGATGTTAATCATAGATTCAAGCCAGGATAGGTTAAATTGAGAAGTGCATCTAGTATATCGTATGATCAGCGTATGCTGTTAAGATTGAAAGAAGTTCTATAAAACAGCTATTAGACCAGGCATACTATGGGATAGAATGTTGGGCACAGAAGCATAAAGTGAATATGAGGAAATGCAAATGTTGAAATGGATGTGCGGCAAGACGAAAAAGGATAGAATTAAAATGAACACATTTGTGAGATGGTTGAACTAGCACCAATTGAAGATAAAATGAGAGAAAATCAGTTATGATGGTTTGGATATGTGCATAGAAAACCTTTAGGCCCGTCAGTTAGGAAGAGTGACATGATCCATATGAAGTGTAATGCTAGGGGAAAGGGAAGAAAAGAGTTAACGTGGGAGACTTAGTAAGGAAGGATATGGTAACATGTGGCTCGACTAGAACTATTGCCTTAGATGGAGTGGAATGGAAGAATCAGATCCATGTAGCTGACCCAAGTAGTTGGGAAAGGCTTTGTTGTTTCATGTTTATTATTGTTGTTGGGTTGCATTATAGCAGTTTGTGTACCGGCAATTCGATATACTTTGTTGGTTCAATTTTATAACAGTTTAAACTTTTAGAGCAATTGGTATTCTAACATGGTATCAGAGCCTTAATTCTTGGAGGTCTTGGATTCAAGTCTCCATCTCTACGTTTGTCCTACCGTTTGATACATTGGACGTTTGCACATTTGATAGAATTTGAACAAGTCTATTGAATTTCAAATGAGTTGATTTGATTTTTGATATTATTCGAATGGTTTAGTTGTATTCCTGACTAAACCTTTGCTCATAGTTGTTAAAGGCGCCGAAGGCGCCATCTCAGCGCCTTTAGTGACTTAAGGCGCAGGGAGTAAAGAAGGCGTGCGCCTTTACCAAACAGGCGCCAGGCTACAGGCGTCCCAAAGGCGCGCCTGCTTGCAAAATGCAATTTTTTTTATTGGTTTAGTTCTGTTTGTTTATTTTTTTTATGTATTGTTATATTATCATTATTTATATTATATTATTTTATTAGTTAATTGAATAGAAAACCTACAAGTTACATTGTTACAACATAAAAAACAAAAAAAGAAAAGAGAACAAAAAGCAAAGGAAAGAAGACAGACTCGACAGAGGCAGCGACGACTTGGACTCTCGGTCTCGGAAGTCAGATCTGCCGGATTTGTGTCGGATCTGCGTCTGCGACTCTGCCGGTAAGTTCTCTAACTTCTCCTTCTCTCTCTTCTTCTTCTCTTCTTCTTCTCTCCTTCTTCTCTCGTCCTCTTCTCAGATTTGCTTCTTCTCTTCTCTTCTGCGACTCTGCAGATATTTTATTTCTTCTTTTTCTTTTCTTCTTCTTTTCTTCTCTCTCTCGGCCGAGTCGAGTTTGGCAGATTTTTTATTTTATTTTTCTTCTTCTTTTTATTTTTTAATTATCTTTATTTTATTATTTTATTTTTTTTCTCGAGTCTGGACTCTGGACTGTCTGCAGCTCTTCTTTTTATTTTATTATTTTATTTTTATCACATAAATAAATAAATAAATAAGAAAATTTATAAATTTTGAAAGAGTTCAGTTTGTTTGTAGAGTTGGAGTTGTTATTTAAGATTGTCTGTTTTTTTTTTTTTTTTTTTCAGTTGTCTGTGTTTGTTATGTACTGTAACTATTTTTCTTTATTTCATACTACGTGGCAGTAAAAAGATCGTTGTTTGTGTTTTGTATATACAATTTTGTGCATGTGGGTATCAGAAAGATGTTGGACTTTAAGGTGAAGACAAAATTTGATCTTTCTCCATCATACATAACCTTCTGCATGATTTTGGGCACAATAAGATTAATGCAAGTAGACACTTTGAATTGGTAATAATGACAGCAAAATGCAGTAACATTATAATTGGACTTTACTTGGTTTTGGCATCTTTATAATTGGACTTTACTTGGTAATAATGACAGCAAAATGCAGTAACATTATGATTTTGGGCACAATAAGATTAATGCAGGTAGACACTTTGAATTGGACTTTACTTGGTTTTGGCATCTTTATGTTGAATATTTAACTTAAGTAATTCATTTAGTTGACTTTTACATCTTTATATATACTATTGCATCTTTAATACTTTATTGGGTGGGTTTTGTTTTTTTTTTTTTTCAACGTGCGCCTTGCTTCAATCGGGTGCTCGCCTCGCCTTGCGCCTTGCGCCTCAGGCTCTAGGAGGCATTTGTGCTTTTGTGCGCCTTGAGCCTTTAACAACTATGCCTTTGCTTAAACCAAAGTCTGTTTAGGATCATTCATGCATCACGTTACACCACTATCTTGTGTGTTCAATGTTGTATGGCATTGAACTTTGAACAGCTAGAAATACCATGCTTGAATGTTGCTAACTAATGTTGGAAAATTGAAATCTGGTTTAAGATATTCTAATAATGTTTTTCTGCTTTCTGTGGTGCCATATTCCAATCCAAAAAGGTGTTCCTATTTGCCTGATTTTCTTTTAACTCATATATTTTATGGAAACAAAAAGCACACCAATTTTCTTAACCAGTGTGGTTATTGTTCACTGATGCCGGACTTGTGTGTTCTAATATTCAATGGTCCGATTATTCAACGTTCTAATTATACAATGATGTAAACAGCTGAGTGGAGGGACAAATTAACTCAACTTCGCTCTAAGAAGAATTGGGCATAGCAGGTATAACCCTTGTCCTCTCTCCTGATGCCATTCAAGCACTTGCTTAACTGGGGATCTCATCATGGTGTTCTCTCTGTTTCATCTGATTCCAAGTTAAATCACACACTTTCAATTTCTTTTTTTCTTTTTTTCTCCCAGATGTTCCAAGAGGATGAAACTATCAGGCAAAGTTGAAGACTTTGATTTCTCGCTTTTAGTACTTTGGCAAGGGTTCATGGTTGGATACTCCTTGATCGATTGTATGTATAGTCTCGATTAAGTCTATAGTAGCAGACACCACCTATGGTTCTTTGGTAATTCTAAGTACCCTTCAAAGAATTTCCTTGATCAATTGTATGTATAGTGTCGATTAAGTTTTTAGTAGCAGACACCACCAATGGTTCTTTGGTAAATTCCAAGTACCCTTCAAAGAATTTCCCTTGGTTAAGCAACGAACACTGACCTTCACAAGCGCGGGGTGATTTCCTTTTGCTTGTAAAATGTAAATAGTTCCTGGTCAGGATTCCGGTCAAACAGACTTGATGAAAATCACAAGTATACATTTGAGATACAGATGTTTGTTGCCTTTTATAAGGTGTGAAAATGTAGCATACATATTTCATTTTATCTAACTGAGGTATTTGAAATACAGATTATTGTTGCCTTTATTAAGGTGTAAAAAGGAGGTACTATAGTGGTAGAACCTACAACCATGGAAGTTTTTATGAGATTTTTTGTTTAATATCCTGTGTGAACTGTTGGACGTTCCATGATTGTTTATCTTAAGCAAATGTGTTAGCTTTATGTTATTTTCAATCAGTTTTTTGCTTATGTGTTAGTTTCGTGATTGGCCGGGACCAGACCATGTAATAATTTCTTGGTAAAGAGAGGGCAATAGTGTTGTATGTGAATTTTAAGTGTGTAGGACTGTAGATTATGTATTAGTTGTCTAGTTAGTTAATGGTATGTGGCAGAGTCCACTGGCCAGGCTTCATGGAGGAGAGTGGTGGTCGAAATTCTTGCTCCGATTCAGAAGTTTGAGGGAGGGAGATGAGTAGCGAGAGAGAAATGATTAAGAGGGCAGACTGAAGTTTGGAGAGTAAATGTCCTACTATTGGCTTAAATTCTGTCTATTCACTCAGTTTTCCTAGCATATTACCCTTTAATGCCATAAATTCAGGGGCTGAATCCGTTAGTCGTGGGCTCCACCAAGGCCAAGCCGTGAACGTGGGGCGTTTCGAAAACAACTACCAGTCGGGGCCTGTTCAACAAATCAGGTCAATCCTTAACTTTCTTAGGGATGTGCATATTATTATTATAAAAAGGAAAATATAATTATCTTCCTAACAAATAATTAATTAGCATGGGTGAGTAAACTTGTTATATATTAAGGATGATATTTTCTCAGATACGCTTCTGGAAATTAGAGATGGAAACTGTATGGAAATCAATGAACTAAAAACTCATCACTTTTGTAAGAGCATCAAGGATGCAAGATGATTTGGAAATTATATACTGTATTCTCCACTTTGTGAGATCCATACCATATTATTCACTCCATTCTTCAAATGTGATTGTGAGACCCACAATATATTATCTACTCCATTCTCTAAATGTGGAGCTTAATAATCACAGTTTGGCTAGTTAGTCGCAATTTTATTTTATTTTGTTTTCTATTATAGTGTTGTTACTCATGGTAACATTGTGAAGTATGGACAAATTGCCCGATTTCTAACGCTTTTACAATGCCAGTGATGCTAAATGCTTACAAAAGTGAGGCTTAAAACATAGAGATTTCATTATCCTCTTTAAATATAGCCTCACTTTGGTAAATATTTACCATCAGTGCCATTGTGGAGTGAGGGCACATTGCCTTACGGTAAATTTGGAGACCATTGGTGCCATTGTGAAATTAGGGGACACATTGCCCCCACAATGGCAATGGTAGTGATTGTAAATTTTTGTCAAAATGAGAGTATTTATAAGAGTGATAAGAATTAAAAATAAAATAAAAAATAGAAAGGAACACGTGTGATTGGTCACCAATCTCTGCTCGGGCCTGTGGATAGCAACCTCATTGGGATAATAATAGTGTGGATAATATGGGTCCAAAATGGGGACAACGTAATTGCTAATGTAGCACTCTATTTTTCAAAAGTGATAAATCTCTCTATATTATTAAAGTGCTAATGAAAGTCCCCCTTTCTTATGTTTTATCATCATAATATGGGTGTGCATAGCCTTTTGCTAGACATACATATATGTTACTTTTATAATAAATTTACACACGCATTAGTTTTATGAAGATTTAAACTTTCGATCTTTTACTTTCGCTCTTGCAGTGACGGAGCTAGAATTATTAGTTTTTATTTAACTAATATAACAATTAACAATGAGACAGTACTCCAGAAAATAGAAGTGTAGTAATGGCGTTTTAAGAAGAAAAAAAACAAAAGAAGATATAATGAGAGAACTCTGGAGGGAGAAAAAAAAAAAGAGGGTTTGAAGAAGGGGAATGCAATTCTTTTAAGGAATCAAAGGATTTTGAAAAAAAGAAGAAGATATTTTTAGAAAATAAAAATGTTGGCGTGGTCTTTTTTATATGTGTGTGTGTGTGTGTGTATATTTGGCCGGGCCGGCTGCGCCCACAAGCCTACACTGGTCCTTGGTAGTGTCACCTTGGTATCATTCTTTTGAACTTCTCGCTCCATCTTAAAGGGGTCAGCCCTAGCTAGACAAGTTGTACAGTGGTTTGGTGAAGCTTGTATGCCTGTCAATCTTTAAACTGAAAGAAACACAGACATTTCATGCCCCCACAGGTCCATAGTTCTTAAATTTTAGCAATGAAGCAAATACACTGATACAAATTAGCATGTTATGACAGGTTTTGTTATGTAGAATTTGACCAATTATGGAATTTAAAAGATAAAAGAGTATAGAAAAATTAAAAGGCATTGTTCAATATGTTCAATACGTATGCAAATAAATCTACAAGGCTCAAAAAAGTCTAAAACAGAGACCCACCTCCTCCGTGCATGTCTTATAATTTAATGGTTCTGATGTGACTATTTGTCATAGGATGGAGTGAGAAAAGAGTGGAAGCGAAAAAGAATTGAACGAGGAGCTGTATGAGGTAAAGTCTCACGTACAATTTTGTAGAGTGACAGTAAAACTAATTTATCTGTCAACTTTAGGTAAGGCCGAGTTTGGTTACATCATAGACGCACATAAATCATTTTACAGAAAGTTCAGTGCAGTGATAAAGGGATGCATGTGCAAATGTACTAGTTTAGTTACATCTTTAAAAAAGAAAAAAAAAACAAATTAAATAGATTGATAACAAACATAACACCTACACAACGCATATAAGATAATCCACATATTTGTACTCAAAATTTCTACAAAATGAAATATATTCTCCATACCATGGACAAGAAATAAAATCTGAAATGTAGTCCACAATTCTTGATGGGAGCTAATTATGTAACAATTCTGCTAATACACAACACAACAGAGTTTTTTTATGACAACAATTAATAAAACTAAAAAGAAATAATGCTGCTACACAATGCAAAATCCATATCATGAAATTGCATATATAGAACTTGTAATCAACATACAAAAGACACCGGCCATCTGATCATAGAATGTGACAGGGATTGTAATAATGGTCTTCGACAACTGCATACCAGACATTGCATTTCTGACACGTACTTGGAAGAGAAGGAACGACGACCTTTTTCTCATCCTTTTTCTCGTCCTTCTTCTCTTCCTTGGGAGGCCCTATACTCGTAATCTGCGCAGATTTTCTGAACTTCCTCACCTTTTTAATGATCCTTACTGGATCAGCTTCGCCAATTACCGTCACTGTATTTTTTGGTGGGTCAAGAACGATAGAATTTATCCCTTCTACGGTTGAAATTAACTTCATCACTTTTGTTCTGCACTTGGAACAAAGTAGATCCACTGACACAACTGTTTTCTGCAACAAAAAGAGAGTCAGGTTCCACAGGTACTTTTTCTGAGCTCAGAGAAGAAAAAATTCTATGCCACAAACAAATGCGCTGAAAAAGTACGGCAAAGTGTCAGCGCAAGAAGCAAAATGTCAGAAGAATGGGCAGTCATAAAACACATGCATGAGGAGATAAATAATAAAAAAAATAAACATTCAGAGACAATGAAACATTATTGAACATGAAATAACCTTTGACATGATATGGAGAGAATTATACTGATTATATTGTGAGAAATAGGATGCAGGAAGTTGCTCTGGTGATCATAGATATGGAGATACTATTTATAAACTGCTCTCTATCCCTGAATTTGTTTGATTATGTTATCAGATAATATTTATGTAACAACCGTGTTAGGAGTTCCCCTTGTGTAACTTGACAGAACATTGGTAATAAATGTACTGACAGTGTTGGTTACTAGAAATAAAAGTCAGTCAGAAGGTTCTTCATTGGATCACCTAACACCTTCCCTATGCATTTAAGATGGAGTTACCCCCACAACCCCCACTCCCCAAACTCTCTCTCTCTCTCTCTCTCTCTCTCTCACACACACACACACACACACACACACACACTTACACTTTAATCCTAGGCCAAAAACATGGTTTCATCAATGTCTGTTTAAGAGACAAGGCATGCAATAATTTTAGACAGGTGAGACAATTGTCTTTTATTTAAGAGACGCTCATATTTCTCATTTCTTAAATAAGAAATTTATTTTCTAATTTCACAAAGGTATATATACCTTTGCTGACATACATTGTAGTATATTTCAAGTTGATTAAGAAACTCCAGCTGGTAACAAATTAATATGAAACATGAAGTAGCTAGTCAAGGTATGTTAATCAGTAAAATGAGCTTTCTGAACAAACCAAGATTTCGTACAGACATTCTGGCGTGGCTCTCACTAAATGGCATTTCGCAGAAGGTATATATAGGTTGATATAGCATACTGTCCATGCCATTGCACATGCATGTACCGGGAAAAGATTGACTTTAAATTCAGTTTTTGTGGGTGTGGTGTTCAGCTTAGTGGGGCCAACTTTTTTGTTCAGCTAGTTTTCGACGTCCTTTTGAACGTACCCAAACCTCTATATAAAGAGGTTTTACTTTGATCCTCGTGAATGAGATACCTTTAATTCACTCTTACTGGGAGGGGTGTTCAGCAGAATGGGGCCAGCTCGACCCACTTCCTGTTGCTTTTTGCTTTGATACCATTTTCTGACTTTGCTCTGACACTACTTTGTTGGAAATAGTGGACTAGACAAACAAATATAATTCACTATAATTTGGAAAAGAAATGATATGGAGGAATACTTGGAAAATTATATTATTCCACTTCTACTCACTTAAAAAAGGTATAGTACATGAGTTTATATAGGCTCTAAGATATATGTAACCAATTACATTTCAATACCCAATTACACCCACTATTCCCACTAACATGATATTTAGTAGGTATAACTCCCACTAACATAACCATTTAGTCTTAACTCTCATTACCCTTGGTTTTACACAACCTTCATCATCACACTAACTCTCATATACTAATTCTCATTAAGATAATTTACTACCTACTAACATGCTAAATGTCCACATACACTATGTAAGACAAATAT